AATTAGGAGAAACAAAGTTGCACTGTTAGATATAATGTCGCAATTACTAGAAATAAAGCCGCTGTGTGATATAAAGCCACATTGTGAGATACAGTCACAACTACAAGAAAAAGTGCAGTTACAAGAGATAAAGTTGCATTGTGAGATACAAAATTACAATTACAAATTATAAAGTTGCAATTAAAAGAAATAGTCACCCCAGCACAATTAGGAGAAACAAATTATTACAAAAAAATAAGGTCACAATTACAAGAAATAAAGTCACCCTGTGAGACAGTCACATTGTGAGACAAAGACACAACTACAAGAAAAAAAGTCACCTTGTGAGACAGTCACATTGTGAGACAAAGACACAAATACAAGAAACAAAGTCGCCTTGCTTGACAAAGTCACATTGTGAAACAAAGTCACAAGTCCAAAAAACAAAGCCACCTTTTTAGACGAATTTGCAATTTCTCTTGAATATAAAGGTGCAACTAAAAGAAACAAAGCTGCCTTACGAGATAAAAAGTGGCAATTACGAGATACTATAGAAAGCCGCACTGCGGGAAAAAATTTATTCGCTAGATAAAAAGTTGCAAAATAGAAGTTCCATTTGCGAGATATAAAAGTCGCATTGTGAGATATAAAGTTGCAACTATGAGAAACAAAACTACTTGCACTGCAAGATAAAGATGCAATAACATTCTTTTCAAATTGTGAGGTGGAAACAGTCTACTACAATTTGGCTTCACAGAGGATGACAAGTTGACTCGAAAAATGGCAACTGTAGTAATCAGAGCAGAGCGCAACCACATAATTAACAAGCCTCTGCCATCAAGGAAAGGAGGCACGTCAACTCCAAATGACACCAATCGAGGGGCCACAGTGCATCGGTGTAATGAAATATCACTTCAATTAACCCTGACACAGTCAAAACAGCCTCTTAAATAAAAACAAGAAACAGAATGCACACAAACAGTCCAGTGAAAGGGTGACCAGCAGAGATGATTATGCGGAAAAGCCCAGGGAAGGGGGAGATCGGTCGTATGAGTGCAGGGCTCCTCTGGTATTGGACGGCAGCACATTCAGTCATGCATAAACACGCTGAGGTATCCAGCAGGAAGTGTGTGTTTTGAACAATGGAAGCGAGGAAACAGGGCCAAAAATATATCAGGAAAACAATCTCTCGCTCTTTCCATCTTCAAGTGGTTTGAATTACAAATGAGCGTTCTCATCTTCTCACAGGAGGTGCAACCAAAGCTAACCTTTAGAAACTAGGCCACCAGAGAACACAGGTGCTATGGGGTGGGGCGAGGGGGCTTTTCAAAACACTCGATATTGATCAAACAAGAACAGTAGGATAATCTTCAACAAAGGTTATGTTGTACATGGATCTCACATGAAGCATCTCACAATGCTACACACAGTGTGAGTTCACATGGCTTATCTGAGCAACCCGGGACGCTGATAAAATCCAATCCCTGATGGCACTGGACACACACAGTGGTAAATTAATCAAGCTCAAACTGTTTAATCGTGATGAACTTTATCTGGGGAACCAGACCAATCTCACTGCGAAAAATCGGATCCGCTGAAAGAGAACAGGCTTTTTCTCTGTACAAACATTACAAACCAGATTTTTAGATATTCTTGAGTGGTGCTGCTATGATGTTAAGATGCTGTCGACAAGGCTATGTGGTTGCTTAATGCTCCAAAGTCTCTAGATGTGTCTCAATTCAGTGCTAAAACGATCACAAATAATTAAGGGAAATAAGATGAAATAAAATAAAATATAGGCCTAAATATTAGATGAAAAACTTAAATGAAAATTGTTTTGTTTACAAAGTTGATGTAAAATTAGTCAAACTAAAACTGAAATAAACAAAGCTATGTAGAAATATAGAAAACGAATAAAAATTAATACATGAATAAAAATATTTTTAAAAATAAATTCTACACTAGTATTTAAATAATACTAAAATATCACAAATGTCTCAATTTCCCCTTTTTTTGATATTAGTCAACATTTGATATTTAACTGTGCATATACCTTCCTTCTGTTTTTACGTTTATAATAATGATGCCATCATCTAATATTCAAAGCATTAAATCTTTAAAAACACTAATAAGACTTAAATTTATCCTTTTAAGAAAATCTCAAAAAAGTATGTTTTTCATAATGTATGTACATTATAATAATGCTTTGATGCCTTAATTCACTCGTTGATTTTAGATTTAAGTGTATTTATTTAATTACAGAAAATAGTACAGAATTTGAATGTTGGCCATTAATCATTTATCAACTGATTGTATCAAGTAGTATTGTATCAGCCACAATTTCAATATAGGCCTAAAACCAGAATCCTATCAAAACATAGTTTTTACAAACCGGTATAAACCTAAAAGGATTTCAGATTTCGCAGCTGTGGATAAGAGTTTAACTTGCATTTCCCAGGACGGATATGCCTTTATTTGATAATATGTGTCTTATTTGATTGATTTTTACAAGCAGAACTAAACTTCTCTAAAAATCTCTGTTGAAAGCAAAAATAGAAGCTCTAAGCAGGTTCATCATTATGACGTGATCCCACACGGCCTGCTCTGCACTCTCTCGGTTTAAAGCAACACTAATCCACGGGAGCATCACGCACATGCAGCTTAGCTCTTTACACCGTTCACCAGCAGTCTGTTAAACTGTGCCAGGCCTTAAAAAGGTAGAGCAATCAGCACATCTGTTAAAACAGGGCCAGACAAAGATTGGAGAAAAACAGGGTAAGAGCACACAGACTGGCTACTGGGATTACAAGTAGCAGTTGCTTTTGGAAGCCATGTTTTCTCTGACAATTACACTTGCACTCTTGGCAAAAGCTGTTGTGCTTACAAATCAGGTTACAAGAAATGTGCATATCGCATATAAGACAACTAGTGCAAACACAAGGCTCCATGTGCCAAAAACTCACCACACAAGGTACATAATATCAGATACAAGCCAAGCAGATCAAGTCATTTGAGAGTCATCTGTTGATACCAATCACAGTATGAGTGATTGAAATCAAAATGATCAGTAGTGACCGTCACGTGCGCTGCCCAGCACTGATTGATTGCTCAATGCAAGTCACTTTGAACCACAGTACTTTGTGATATCTTTTAAAACCTTTAAGTTCAATAACCTTTAAGATGCATGTTTGTGATAAGACCAATATGATAACATCAATCAAACCAACCACCATCATCTCTCAAAAACACAAGTTTAAATAGTATGTGTGTGTGTGTGTGTGTGTGTGTGTGTGTGTGTGTGAATAAATGAACAATTATGATAATTTATATAAGAAAAAAAAACATAATAATCGCGTCTTTCTTCCAATTTTTTGACATCTTGAGTCCTCAAAACTGTCTGATTTAGCCTTCTCCCCTCAGTGACCACTATTATTAGATGTTCCCCCAGGATGCCAACAACACAATTAAGCCCATTTATAGAGATATCATCAGATACCAGGCAAGGATTTGACACCACTATGAGACAACCAAAAATATTCAGACAGTCAATATGAGGATAATGATGATCGTATTTATTGATGCTTTGAGGCAACTTTAAACACTGAACTGATCCAATCCCTCGTCTAACAGATACAGCGGGTTTCAGAGAACATTGGGTGATTGGGAACATAATTGATTTCATGTTCTTTTCTTAATTTAGGTAATTAGGGATTAAATTGATTTATCTATGATCAAACAATATCATCTACATCTATCTATCCATCCATCTCTCTATCTCTATGTACATCTATATCTAATTAAATAATAATAATGCGTTTAATTTAATAATAATATGTTTAATTTATATAGCACCTTTCCCAAGCTCAAGGACACTGTACAAAAGCAGTAACACAATAGACAGTCAATTCACATAGTCATAAACAGTCATTTCACAATCAATTAATCAAATTAAGTGGACAGTGGACATTTGCCCAGTCCGGGGATAGACATGATTGCAGTTGCATATCATGGTACAATTATGTACTGGAAACAGAGATACATAACATAGTATAAGTAATAACAGAAAAAGGATAGTGTCAATAAGTAACAAACAAAGAATAGTAAATGCAACAAAAAATACACAGAACGAAAATACTCATAGCTGGTAGTAGAAAATAGAATTATAGCTGGTAGTATAGGATGAGGAGAGTGTCTAAAGAACATGTTATGTAACATAATAATAAATATTATGATACTATATGTGCTATGGGTTTAATTAAGGTTACACAGGCTCTGTTTACATTTTTGTCATAATTGTAAGTAATTGTGCTCATATTTTCTGTCTGAACCATCATGTCAGCACTGTCACACAAATTGTAAAGGTAATATTTGAGATTTTAGATACTTTTCCTCATCACAAAGAAACTATTTCCTAGTATACAGTAAACCAGCAATATCAGAAAAACAAAATGGCTACTGCATTTAATAAATGTGTGATATGCAAAAAATATGCTTATTTTCTCAACTGCAATATGACCTGTCTGACTTAAAATGGTGAAAATGAATATGAAACTATCCTGTGGTCTCAATACATTGGATTTAATGTTATAATTGTCAGTTTTGTGAGAAACGTTTGCCACGTTATTTTTGTATGTTTTGATAAATTGAGCGGTATGCAAGGAAAAACACACATTTTGTAAGAAAACTGAAGATTGAACACAAACATAGGTGAAAACCTGAACACTTTAAACATTAATCCAATACAATTCACGGATATCTGTATTTTGTAGCAAATTCTATGCCATGTCTCAAAAATCACTGCAATTCTCTAATTTCTCAGGGTCTCTTGTCAAATTAGAGTCTGCTATTCCCAACCAAGCATATTAATACATTAAATGTATTTGAATGTCCTAATATCAGAAGGATAACGATTCAAGCAGCCTGGCTTCTAAATCAGTGCACGCTAGCTCGTGTTTATTATACCTGCTGTAGTGCGTTTACAACCACGCTACAATGTATAATACACAATAACTCAATCTTACCTGCCAAAGCATCGGGCTCCAGACCCGTTTCGTTGTCTATTCCGCATATAACGAAGTAATGTGCGAAGCGGCAGGGCGCTGACCCAGAGCCGCTCATAGTCGCGCTCATCTCGGCTCGAGCTGATCCGCTTTGTCCGCGTCTGTTATACAGACCCAACCAACTCCATATCCAGCGTCCTCAGGCAAATTAAATCAAAGCGCCGTTTTAATGAAAGCTAATGGCTTAAATTGTGTACGGTGAGCTTCGGAAAGCAGTCTATGTAGGTATAACCGGGTTTGGAGAGCGTTCGCTGCTGTGGCTGTGAGTTGTAGCTGCTTCAAGAGCGCACTGACGCGCCGCTTCAGCTGATCACACTCAGCCAATCGAGACCTCTCAAATGTTTCGCCTCAAGTATTTGTTTGAGATGGAGCGTGCAGTGCTGTAAGCCGTGTCTTTTAAATGTTATGATTCACCAGCAAAAATAAATCAATAAGCAAAGATTTTTCATACGAATTTACAAATAAGTACAAATATTATCAGATCGTGAACGAAAAATATACAATAGGCTATTAGTTGCTTTGTTTCCAGTCTATTTCTGATTTGTTTCACAATAATTACAATAAATATGTAAAAGTGTTTGTTCTCGATCGTGAGAAAAGCAAATGAAGCTTTCCAAATGCCACAAATGTCACATTTTCAAATACAGCAGAACCTATTTTATGAGACTTTTTTTTTTCTTTCCTTTTTTTTATATATATTGAAGTCAAATATTTTTAGCCTATATTTAAAAACGTGTTTGAAATGTGCCAGGCAGAATATAGCTGTTACAAAATATTGCGTTTTTTGTTTTTACCATTTACACATATCAGACATTCATTTTCTACTACTACTAATAGCTGTTATTGATTATTTGATTATGATTTTTTTGCATTGATATCACGCTTTGAATATCCTTGCTCATTTGACATAAATCTGCTATGTATCATAAAAAATATTTTTACGATATAAAACCAGCATATTGCAATATCGCCCTCTGTTGGTTAAATGTATTGCTAGTGCCTTTGTATTTGTGTGTTAAATGATCCATTATGGTAATAATCTATTGGGCATCACTCAATGTTTCCCAGTAGGCTAAAACGAATTAAAATTATAATAAATTAAAAAACGATATAAACTCCATCACTGACACAATAAATTAAAAAAATAAAAATAAATACACAGACAATAAATTCATGTATATGGACTCAATAATCTTCTTCACCCTTTTTTTAGTTCAAGGTCTCCCTCAATATCCAAACAATATTCAAATGAGTGTTTTGTTTTTAAGACTTTTTTTATTTACAGAAATTTAGAGTGTTATAGATTAAAATAAGTAACTAAAATAATTATCATTAAAATGAATTATTTCAGAATTCCAACAGTTTTAAGTGATGAATGTTCTTCAGGGAGCCCTCTCTTTTAAATCAGTGTATGTTGGTTGCATAACTTTTCCAGTCATGCATGATTTACTGGCTAGGGATTAAAGGATTTGTTTATTCACAATGCATATTTAATGCTGTTTTAATATTTTATTAGGTTCTACTAATAATATTATTTTACCTACTATTTCTAATCTATCTATCTATCTATCTATCTATCTATCTATCTATCTACATTTTCAAACTTCAAGCTTTTACAATTGCTTTAAATTGTCAGGTTAGGCTTCTTAAGCCAACCTCAAAGTTTGTTCAAACACTTTAGTTAAGCTTGAGTTCTAGAGGAAGTTAATTAAAATAAGAAATGTGGTTGTTTTCGCTTGTTTTGTCTTATTTTAAATCATTTTAAATCAATATTTTTTAATAATTTTTTAGGCCTCCTAGTGGCCCCCCGGGCCCCTGGTTGAGAACCGCTAATCTATAACAATATTCAGTACAACAGCACTCTTGGTTGTGTGATATCTATGGGAATATAAAAGAGTGGATTGTATAAATAAAACTGTGGTAACAATAAATGTTGTATGTTGGCAGAAATAGTTACCATGGTAGTATTTCACCTATACAAACTTTCGATTATGACGTCGCTGTTGTGGGAGGGGTCATAGTCATGGGGGGGGGGGTCTTTTTTTATTTTAAAGTTTATTGTTACTGCGCTAAAATGAATAATGCTGAGTCCACACTTCAATGCAAAGTGCCAACTATTCCCCAGTTTTAGCTGAGTCCAGTCCACAGTGAAAGTGTTTGTCCACCTTCACGCGCGCAGCCGGTGAATATGCAGAAACACGATCTGTGTGAAGTGACGCATGTGTAAACCACACCCTGAACACAAAGAACAAGCACAGCGCTGCTACTACACGCCCAACAGAGACTCAAACACCTGACGCTTCATCCGCACCAGTCCCGATGGCGGAGGGGGCATACTTCATGCGCTCTGTGTTGCCCGTTCACGGCGCTTTTCGCTCGGAAGACTCTTCTTTAGCTTTACCGCAGGATGACAAACTCGCTCTCGCGGACACACACCGGCTGAACCGACTGCAGCAACAAGTGCAGCTCACTCTCTCACGGAAAAGAAAGAAACCAAAACCGCCAGGTATGTGGAATGAAACTGCATGAAATAAAAGCAAATATGTCAAAAGAAGCAGTGTTTTGGTTTGGAATAGAATACATGTGTATACATTTTTACATCTCTGGAAAAAATACGGAATGTCAGTCAAATGTTTATGGTCAGCTTGCAATGGTCCTTTGTTCTTAACTCTATCCTTTGGTTATTTTATATTTTATTCGTGTGTAAAATGCAAAATCATATTAATTTATACCTTCATTATAAAAAAAAAAATCTTTACAAAAATTACTTTGGTTCTACCACGGTATCAGTGTGATATCAAAGTGACTTTGATGTATACCACCACGGTACTGATTGATTATACGTGATTGTAGCTATGACTTATATTCTTGTACCGAATATTTACATAGTACTTCAAGGAATAGTCTACTATGCCACTACTATGGAATAGTCCATATACAACAAAATATTTAGCGTCTGCTAAATGCATAAATTATAATTAAATTATAAATTAATTCATTATTATAGTGTAATAACTATGTACTAAATCTACTAAATGTTATAACAATATTGCAAATAAACAAATTTGGTACCTTTTTGTTAGTTGAGAAAGGTGAACCCTACCTTAGTTTGTCAGAACTCACTCATTCAGACGTATTTAGTAGGATTTGTAAGCGATCATTAAGAATATATTTTCCAATTGTGTGTGTTTTGGGCATTGCAGAGTCATCTCTCTCAGACAGTCTGTCCAGCTGTCATATTTCAAGTAGTTCATCGTTAGGAAGTCTGCACCTGAAGGTAAGGACAATTTTCCAGTGGGATAAAAGTTGTTTTTAAAGGGATAGTTCACCCAAAAATTTAAATTCTGTTGCCATACAATGAAAGTGAATGGTAGAGCTTTCCAGTTCCAAAAACTGACAAAAAACACCTTAAAAGTAGAATAAAAGTAGTTCGTACAATTTGTGCACTATAATCTATGAATGGTAACTAGAGCTTTCCGGTTCCAAAAAATGACAAAAGCACCTTAAAAGTAGCATAAAAGTAGTTTGTGTGATTTTTGCACTATAATCTACAGCTTCTGAAGCCGTTTGATGGGTTCGTGTCAGAAATGGACTAAAGTATTAGTTTATTTCTATGCTTTTTTGGGTGAACTAATCCTTAGTATCACTAACTTAATAACTTAATAATATCACTAACTTGATTCACTTGAGATAATGACATGAACTATACTTTGCAGCGGACGTTCTCCATCAATCATGAAGCCACAAGGTTGTCACGCATGGTTGATCGATCTCAATGGTCAAGTACCGAGCCACCTCGATTTTATAGAGGCTATGGAAGCTTTCATTACACCTCTAAAAGGCCGGCTTTATGCTGGGGGTCCAATTCTTTCACTCTCCCCTCGGCCCCTACAGTCAACCGTTTTCATATGAACAAACAAACTTTACGTTACGCCCACTCCGAGGTTCTGCGAAACCCGAGGTTCGCAGGCCTGTCGGCTGTCACACAGCCCTCCAGTAAGCCTCTGTATGAGAACAATGACATTGATGATACAGATGACGTTTTTTTACCCAACACCCCACACAATGCTCCTGCAGAGAGAAACAGGATGGAGTTAGAGAAGCACACCCTTCAGAGGACCCTCTGCAAGCCGAGAGAGGAGGGTTTTGGTGCTCAAGAACAATCAGAGAACGTGTCCTGGCAGAGCCGCATACGGAAGCCGAGCCTGGAGTTTGTTGCAGGAAGACGACCCTCCCAGCCTGGCTCACTGATCAGCATGGAGGAGCAGTCAGGGAGTTTGAGGAGGATAGAAAAGCTGGAGGTCAAACATCATGCAATGACAGCGTCGGCAAAGTAAGTCAGTAGTTTAGTTTTTACCTGTTTATCAACACAGTTAAATGCCCATATTGTTTGACAGTGTTATTTGAGCATTTTTTTGTTATTTTAATATTGCAGAGAGATGAATGTAGTTTGATGTTTGTAATTAGCACTACATAATGTTAATACATATGTTATATATGTAAATTCATGTATTTTTATTATTATAATTGAATACAATTATGTTATGTATACAAAATTATGTATTGTGAGTCTATTTTCGTCATATTTTAAGCATTAATTATTAATACACATTTTATATATATATACAGTATATATATATATCAATGTAAATAAAGTTATTGTATTACATTTTATAATATTACATTTAAATAAAGCTTTACATTAAATTTAATAATACATTAAATTAGCATTGTAATATACATAAAACTGGCATGCTGGTTTTATATATATATATATATATATATACATACACACACACAACAATAAATATAGTGCATTATTAAATTAATTATATATAATAAATACAAATTACATATATTTCAATACAAGTATTATACAAGTATTTATACAAGTATTAGTTTATTAGTAATTATCTTGCAACAAAAACATTAGCTTATACATTGCCCTAAAATTTACAAAAACTTTTCACAATTTGGTTCAGAGAACAAAATTATTATTATTAATATTATTAAATTATATTATATAATACTGAATTTAAATTAAACCTACATTAAATTAGTGTTGAATTTGTATATTATACATTACAAAGATTGGTCTGCATGCTAACTTTTTTTACATTTAAGTTAGAGCAGGAGATAAAAGCAGGCATTTTGGCTATCTGCCTTCATCAGTGTAACAATTCTTTGTTTCTCAATGATTATATAGAAAATGACAAACATCAGGTGATCATAATCAATCCACAGACTCCAGTTCAGCATCTAAATTAATGAGAACAATAACATAAGGCAAAAAAATGCAGTTTATAAACATTGTACCCACAATTTAAGAAAAAAAAAC